TATATATATAAAAGAAGGAAAAAAGAAAAAAGGAATTCACATGTTTTATTTGCCTTTTCTTTATATTATCAAAATCAAAATCAATTTTATAGTGATTTTTATTTTAGTTTATTAACTTTGAATTTATTTAATATATTTTTTACAAGACAATTTTTTTAATATTTTTTATTTTATGATTATGATGTATAATAAAAATTTTGAATTGTTAATTTTATTAAAAATTAACTATGTATCTACGTATAGAACACTATTCATTTGCTACTTAATATTTTTTTTTAGATATTCGACATCATTTTATTTCAAATAAAATAATTGAATTTATGTTTTAAAATAACTACCTAATAATTTAAATGCATTTTTTATGCTAACATTATTAATTAATTTACAAATATATATATATATAAATAAATAATCAATCATCTCATCAACATTCAATAAGAATGAAAATTATTTTTTTATTTGCTTATTTCTATGAAAATTCTTACATTAGTTGTCACTTTCTTTTTTTGACACAATATTGTGAAAAAAATAAAATGCCTTTTTTGGAATTAAATTTCTTTTTAGGTTATTACATATTTTTACTTAAGAATCTATGGATAGTAAAAGAACAAATCATCTTTTTTAAATAAAAATTTTATGAAAAGTATAAGAAAAAATAATTAAATAAAAAATTTTGATTAAAAAAAGAAAATTAGATGATTTTTTTTTCTTAACTTTTGATTTGATATATTTTAGTGGATATACATACAATCTAGATAATTAAACTTAGGTGTAATTTGATAATCAAGAATAAAGTGATGAGAATGAAATGCGAAATCTAAATGAAAATTAAGGAATCAGAATAAAATTTGTATTTGCATACTTGTGTTTGGAATACTAATGAGGAATTGGAATGCAATTTAAATTTTTTAATATCTGATTTTTTATGCAAATAAAAATAATAATTAAAAAATAATTTTATCAAACTAAAATGGTTGTAAAAATAATAAAGGTGATGGTGGTGGTAAAAATAATTAATAAATAATAAATAAATAAAATATATTATTATTTTTAAAAAAATTCATTTCCATTTCTTATTTTTATTCTCACATCTTACATGGGAATGAAATTGTGTGTAAATTTTTATTTTCATTCTCATTCTCACTCTTCATTCTCATTCCCACTTCATTCATTTGAATCAACTAGCAACAACGTGGAAATAAAACTTTCATTCTTATTCTCATCATTCTATTCTTGATTATCAAACAACACCTTAAATAATTTTTTCAAATGATTTTATATATTACGTACGATCCGTAACATAATGCATGTAAGAAATTAGTGATTTTTTATTGATCCTAAGTTTTCATAATGACTGATTTTGACTTAATTTTTTATTCTTTTAATCTTTTTTTCTTATCTCCTCAAATCTATTAGAACATTGAAAATCATCCTTTTATTATCAAATTCGATCATTAGTAATGAACGAAATTTATGCATATTGAGACCCCTTACAATTCAAATTTTTTTCATTGAGATCATAAATTTTTTTCTATCCAATTTAAGTATTATACTCTAAATTTTTTGTTGTTTCAAACCCTAACGTGCCATGTCAACACATGTGGTAAGGTCTATCCAATGACAGATTGACACGTGACAAAGCGAGCCAAAATTGATTTTTAATAAAAATTAAAAAAATTCTGATGGATTTTTAATTATTTAAGTAATAATAAACGTAAAAATTGGTTATGAAAATACCAATCTACCCTTACCCACTAAACCCAAAAACTCCCCACATTCCTCCAATCTCTCCCCATTCGTTTTGCTCATTACTTCTCTCTTTCCTCTACCTCCTATTGCAATCAACCTCAATTTCTCCTCCTTTCCCAATTTCGCAAAAAGACTAATAAGAGATCTCGATATGTATAAAACTCAATAATCAACTCTTCATCATTACGACGGTTGTTACTATTATGTTATACTGAAGTTATATAATGCAATTTAAACTATTTGAATCTAACAAGCTCAAACAATGTTTTGGAATTGGGCTTGTTATATTAAAATAGTTTGGCTTTATTTGTATTAATTATTTGGATTTGTATGAAGAAAAGAGAAAAAAGAAGAGTAAAAATGATGATTTTAATGGAGGAAGAGTAAAGAAGGTGGCAGCCATGGTGGAAAGGGGAGGAGAGAGAGAGGAATAAGAAGAAGAAAAAGGAAAAAAATTGATTTTTGGACATGTGCTAATAGATTGGATTGGTTACAAATTGGATAACTGGAAACCATAGATACTAACTCAAAAAACTTAACCAAAACGATTTTAAAAGTATAAAGGAAACGTTAAGAGAGAAGGAAATAAAAAATAAAAAAGAAACTATCACGAAATCAGGAATAAAAGTACCACAAAGTTCTTAACCATTGCATGTATGTTCCTTTAATACATTTGCCGTTTTGTCACTTGTGAAACCCTTTTGCAATGCATAGAATAGAATAGAATGGTCTTATAAGGCAGTGTAAGGTTGATAATTGTAAATTCGATATGAAAAACCCGACGTAATATAGACATATGGTGGCAAAAGATAAACCAGATTTGACTTCTACAATTTTGGCATACTCGATCAGTACATGGTAGGAATAGGAACCGCTTGAGGTATATGCCTTATTTATTTGTTGTAAAAAATAAAAAATGGTGTAATTAATCACAATGGGACAAACAAAATATGGGTGGTAAATGGTTTATTAGAACATCATTGCCAAAACAATAATATTCAAATCAAACAAACTCTGAATTAGATTGAATCGAAGCCTTGTAAGTTCAAGGTTTGGAATAAGTTATAAAATAAGGTTCTCTTAATGATGGTTATGATATTGCAAGGAGAATCAATTCCAGTAAAAATAAGTTTTAATTCTGAGGTGCAAAAAAAAAAAAAAAAAAGAGGAAAATTGAGTTCGAGATTTTACTTGATGCAATGGTTCTTGCCTGGTAAATCTTATATCATGCACTCAGAAATGGTTCCCCGAGAATTTCTGCTCAGTTGTTCACAAAGAAGAAACCTTGTAGATTCCAGGAATTACAGAGGAAAACTGCTCGTAAAATTCATGATGATTTTCCAAGAAAAGACAAGCAAGTGCCATAGGAAAATTGAACTGGCTGAGGCCAACTAGCGAAGCAACAATTCTTGTTTCATTTTCTCGGTCTAGCACAAAGTAGCTTGCCTCAGGTGATTCCATAACTAATTACACTCTATTTCCCTAAATCCATAATACCAACTCTCAACCAATGATCGTGGAAAAACAACAGGAAGCAAATAAAATAAACATAGTTAATAATCTAGCACATTTGAAATGAGAGAATCAGTCAGGAAGACATCCAAACAAGTAATGCACCAAATAGGAAATGCTCTGAAATGGTTGAAGGATTCGCTCCTACAAATATAATATCCAATCAACAGTCTCAAGTCACTCGCTCCATTTATTCAAAGGCAAAATTGAGACTGTAATCTGTAACTCAAATCTGATGGATAAAAGAAGAAAGTGCAACCTGTGTGAACTCAATACATCTATGCTCATCTTCTGGTATAAAGACAACACACTGCTGCAGCTACTTAGGGAATAGCAAACATGCTTTTAGCTGAAACCCTATGCACCAAGATCCTATCATCCACTCCATTCTCAAGCTCATCCCCTTCTTTGGCAACATCAATGCTCTTATTTTCACACAGGGATGGATCATCATTGTTATCTCCAACTATTCCCAACTTTCCTGAGTAATACTTCCCCATATTCCCAGTTAAATTCTCAAATGTCAACCATTCCAGACAATATTTCTGCAATGGCATGGCATTGATCCTTTCCACATTTTGCAAAACCTCCTTAGGTGACATCAAGTCACCTACTTATGAGTTAGAACAACCGAATTGCCAATCCAAGCCAAACATTCTAAATTTGAGATCTCTTAAAAGGTTTTTTGAGCAAATATGAACACTTCCTCATTTCAAGGCAATCCTAAATAATTGACTCCAATAATTATAGACAAGAAAGATAAATGCAGTGTTTTACTAATTCCCCACAAATCAAATTTCAGTGCAAAGCCAAACACCACTGATGGCTGCAGACACACAAGAAACACCATCCATCACAGCTAGCATTTTTTAACTTCTCAACTAGTCTAGTTCAAGCGTTAAACATAGTTTCTCAAAGTCTTCTCCAACAATAATCTATTGTTACACTAAACACTGCATCTGCCCAATCCTGTTCTCATGATCAGGATCTCTTTATTGTCATAACTTAGTAAGCCAACATAGAGCCATTTACCAAACATCATATTCTATAAACAGTATATGAGTAAAGAACTCATCCTGAGTATGGCTGCTGAAACTGCTTTGTCTGTCCCTCAGATTATATTTTGATTAAAAAAAAAAACAAGGCTATTTTGCTGGCATGCCATACAAAGCTCGATAAATCACATATTCGCTGACTAGCAGGCATTGTGCACATATGATTGCTTTAGTGCTTAATTCGAGAAGATGAAGATAGATAAGAATAATGGCAAGTTGGAAACTGATACCTTATGAGTCTATTTCTATACTTGACAAAATTTCAAACTTCCATAGGCTTTCGTAAGTTACAATAAAAGAAAAAAATTTCCTCCAAATGAAGAATTATGGTGAAAGACACCCTATCAACTGAAAACATCACGTCTGCCAAGCTAACATACCTAAATGCTTATAGTACACAAACTTCTCAAGAATTTTGCAAGAATGATCATCCGCATCACAAGGACTAAAAATATAGATTATTTTAAATCACCTTGTCCCACCAAATTGAATGATCCATAAAATGAACCTCACCAAACAGACTACAGCAGCATCTCAGCAATCTGAATAGCATTAAGTGCAGCTCCTTTGCGTATTTGATCACCACAGACAAATATATCCAACCTGTTTGGCATCCAACAATTAATGTGATACTTTGTCAAAGTATAGACAACAATTAAACAGTACAAGGCCGACAAATGAGTCTTACCCACTATATCCGTCTTGCGAAACATCATGACGAATCCTGCCAACTGCAACATCATCTTTGTTTGATACCTCCAAAGGTGTAGGAAAGTGATTAGATGCTCGGTCATCAATAACCACCACCCCAGGAGAACTCTTCAAAATAGATTTTGCTGTATCCTGCGATTCAAAAATTTTACTACATGAAGTTTTATACAAACATAAATCTTCCTTAGAAGGTTCAACTAGATAAAAACAAAATAAAAACTTCCTTTGTGCTAAGTTTGTGTTTGGACTTTGGTTAAGTAAGAGACTTACCTCAAGAAGGGGCTTCTCAAATTGAAGATTAACACTTTCAGCATGTGCACGCATGACAGGAACACGTATACATGTAGCAGTGACTTTAACATCCATGTCATTCTGGAAAATTGACAAGAAGTTGGAAACATTTTATAATTGAACCATAATATATCTTATTAAATATAACAGTGTAGTTAAAAATAACAACCTTTAAAACTTACCCAGATCTTTCTGGTTTCTTTAACTAATTTCATTTCTTCTTCATTGTACCCATTTGATAGAATAGGTGCATTGTGTGAAAACAAGTTAAAAGCATACTGCACATCAAACGTACTGAGTTAAGTTTGAACTCTTCATGGCAAATAAAGAAATTTTTACTAAAAAGTTGAAGTTATTGCATGACAAAGTCGAACCTGTTGCTTAAAGATGTTGCAAGTGGGTGGTTTTCCTTCCAAGACCTTACAAACATGGAAAGAAAGGTATCAATTTTTGTGAAAATAAACTACAAAACCAGTTATCCCAGCTAAACATAAAATTAAACAGCCTAATTAATTGATCAAAGATAACAAGATTATATGGAAAGCAGAAACCTCACGAGTCTGCAACTCAAGCTCTTCCATTGCAGCAGCACCAGCACCACTGGCTGCTTGATATGTACTAACAACCATTCGTTTCACCTGCCACACCAAATGATCAGCTGGCATTTTACACACACAAATAAATAAATAAATAAATAAAAATAAAAGAAAGAAAGAAAAAACCAGCACCAAAAACCTCACAAGGTTTTTTTTTTTTTTCAACATGTATATAAAACGCAAAAGGCATATCTTAAAACATAGATTATTAAATCTCCCTTAACTTTGAATCACCCTTAACTAAAGACAACTATTTGTAATTGACACTCAGTTAAACAGAAACACATCATAATATAAATGATTAAGTCTTACAAAATAATTTATGTTTGTCAATCGGTAATAAATAAGTGACCAAATACGAAATATGAACACTAACATTTCAACGCATTGATCAAGGAGTGCCCCAAATACAAAACTTACCACCTATACAATAATGTTAAAAATCCATTACCTTGGCATGCCTATGCAAAGGAGTAGCAGCCATCAAACAAATAATAGTTGAACAATTTGGATTGGCAATCAAAGCACCCTTTCCCATCCCAACTTTAATCCCTTTCATAGCCTCTGGATTAACCTCAGGGATCACCAAAGGAACCCCTTCTTCCATTCTAAAAGCCGAGCTATTGTCCACCACAATGGTTCCCTTCTCCACAGCCAACGGCCCAAAATGCTTACTAATGGACCCACCAGCACTAAAAAGGGCAATATCAACCCCATCAAAGCTATCCTCAGTTAGCTCTTCAATCGTGTAGTTTCTGTCTTCGAAAGTGATCTGCTTGCCAGCAGAGCGCTTGGAGGCCAGCATTTTAATAGAACCGTAAGGGAAGTCACGGTCAGAGAGGACAGAGAGGAATTCTTGGCCGACTGCACCAGTTACACCAACGACAGCGAGAGAGGGGGCGTTTTCTTGAAGAGACATGCGGATTCTTGAAGGGGATGTGAATTTTTTGGGTTTAAGGGAGAGTTTTGTGAAGAGGTGGGTAAAGCTACTAGAATGAGTGAGAGTTGCCATCTTCTGAAAACGGAGAACCAGAGAGATTAAGAGAGAAACAGTAAAGTGAGAGGCGGCTGGCAGAACGGAAGAAGGGTTGGGGACTTCAAATGGTTTTGAGACTTATTGTTGTTTGGTCTCATTTTGGCTTTTGGCTGCCTTTTTTTTCTTTTTTTCTTTTTTTTATTCTTCCTAACTTCCAATGTCCGAAGGGTTGTCTTCTTTCTATTTTTACATAAATTAAAAGATTTATTAACAATTATATCATATTAACATTTTTATTTATACATTCTAAAATACCTTCTTCTTTTTTGAATTATTAACCATCAAATTTAATCTAACATGACATGAAATCAATATTAATTAAGGATATTTAAATAAAATACATAACTTAAAATTTTGACATTTTAGAACAGATATAATTAGAAAAACAAACAATTTTTTAATATAAAAGAAGTATTTATTTTAACTTTGTAGTTTGTTTTGTGATTAATAATTAATTTTGTCCTTGTATTTTTAATTCAGTTAATCTTTCGTTATTTTATTCTATTTTAGTTAATTGAGACCAATCATTAAAAATTCAATTAAGTTTTCTTTATGTTATTTAATTAATCTGTCTGAATCAAACTAATGTTAGATAATGTTTTCCAAATACATACGGTAGTTTGCATGTAGTCCCTACAACAATATACTTGCTAGTTACTCTTTAGGTGTCCGTTCATAAAGATTATGAAGAATGAAAATTCTCAAAACGAAACTATAGTAATTAAAATGAAAATTAGGAAATCAAAATAATATTTATATTCTTATGCTGTATTTAAAATGCTAATAAAAAAAATTAAATGAAATTTAAATTTTTTACTATTTAATTTTTTAATCGAAAAAAATAACAATTAAAAAAATAATTTTATCAAACTATAATGATTGTAAAAATAATAAAAGTGATAGCGGTAGAAGTTAATATATAATAAATAAATAAAATATATTTTTATTTTGAAAAAAAAAATATTTCTCTTTCCTTATTTTTATTCTCACTTTTTAAATTAAAATAAAATTATGTATAGTTTTCATTTTCATTCTTATCTCATTCCTTTTAACGAGAACTAAAAATAAAAATAAAACTTTTATTTTCATCCTCATTCTTTTATTTTTTATAACCAAACAATATGAGCCTTTAATTTCAACCTAATGATTTGATTTAGCTGATACTACTTCTAATAGCACCGTTGATTGGTGCATTAAGGTTCGACTCTTGAATACAACTTGGGAAGCAAATCCAATTCTACACGAACAAAGCCCCCAAAAGCTATATAGCACCTCCCGTAACGATTTCTTAAGGTTAAATTTTGGAAAACATTTCGAATTAATGATTTGAAGACAAACAAAAAACACTATTAATGGTAATTAGTATAATGTTGTAAGCAAGAAATATTACAACCAATTATAAATGGTTGGGGAAATTTAATTTAATGTTTACTCAATTTAATTGCAACTTACAAGCATTGGAGCATTATGACTGCTCAACATAGACTAACATCCGTTAAGCTGGAATTAGCAGCAACCAATCCAATGGTGATGTTAAGTATGATATCCATATATAGCAGCACCTGCATAAGCTGCCTCTGCATCGGCAGCTACTTTATTCTATTATGAGGATCAACCCTCCAACGGTGGCACTGTGACATCTTGGACTGCTAAAAGTGTTGCTCGACCACCATGCTCTTCTGGTAAGACTTCTTCACCAATTTCCTTTACAAAATTTTTTCTTTCTTCTTCATTAGTCACTATCACAATCTGCGTTCATCGTCACAAAGCAAGCCACACAGTTAATTTAACATTGAAGGTCAGCTTAAATAATGTATTATCCTAGGCTCACTTTGAAAATAATTCTTAACTTCTAGATTCTGTTGGTATTCAAAGTGAAAACAAGCATTAAATACACCAGGAGGGTACCACCCATTCACAGAGAAGAAAGAGAAATCAAACTTCAAAAAAAAATTTTGATTATGGAAATCTAGTCATAACGCATCAGCTTCAATTAAAAACACCAAAACGTTTTACGTGAGTTTGATCAATAACATCATTATTTTCCTTTTTCTCTCATTGATAATAGAAAGCATGTCTTCAGAAACTCTTGCAGCAATTAGATATATTGGAAAAAACAATGGGGACAATAATGGGGTGAAAATATGTACACTCTGGCAGGTATGAAAGACGACACTTCCAATGTGCTGAAAATGTTAGGTTTGTTTATGACATATAATCAAGAAAATGGCACAAGCATTCAGGGTTATATATAGATTCACCACCAAGTTGCTTTTGCAAATGCATATCCACTCATAATTCTATGGATCAATGAGTTCTATATGATACCTTTTCCAATGTGGCCTTCTCCAGGAAGCGAGAAATCATCCTCCAGACGCTAACAAAGAACCATGGCATGCTTAAAATGAAGCACCTTGCCAAACGCTCTGGATAGTAAGCCTACAGGAAAAGAAATCTAGAAATATTAGATATTCATATAGTGTAATTATTTGCCCCAATCAGCGAAAAACCATTTATACTCCAACCAGATTGAGCCTTCAGGAACAAAAGTTTTTGAAGTGACTTATTCTGATATGACCTAAAAAGTGTTCAACATGGAATTAAACATGTTTTCTAACATATTCAGTTCATGCCTAATTTTCTATATGGAATATTATAGAAAGAAGATCTCCCTAACAGAAAAAGAGGAATACAAAGTGATGCAGAGGGAGAGTGGTTTTATTTTTGTTAAATAGCCCTATTGACTATTGTCAGAGAGTCGAGTCAATGAATCTAGGAAGTATTTCAAGTTTATTTATCCAGGCTATTCCTATAATCGCATACATAGTATTTATTTTGAGATCATCTCTCTGAGCATATGCTTGGACTGTTTCTAATTTGTTTCCTTCCACCGCTCTTCATAAGCCAATCCACACCCTTCTTTCAAGCACTGCACCACTTACTATAAGCTAAAGTAGATGTTGCCTTTCATGGAATGGAGGTGTTTTGAGCATGCTTTCTTCCAGCTTGACTTAACACGTTTGAATCAGAACCAAGGTCATTCTAAAACATTTGGTGTGTGCCTAGTTTCACTTGAGATCATTTTAGAAAAATCTCCCTGTTAGGGAAAATGAGAGACAGCATGGGGAAACTATTTCATTTTTCCATAAGAGCAGATTTACATGCAGACAAATTTGCAACGTTCAACACCAGGCTCCCTCAGTTTAGAAAACAAAATCTATTCAGAAAAACAACCATGACAACCAAATGTATACAACAAAACAAACAAGTACATCAGGCTGCTGACCTCCAGCTAAACCAGCACAAAAATAGTAGAAGCAGACCAAACACAGTTTTTCAACTAAAGAGCTATGGAGATTTAGATTTTAAACTTTTTTTTTACCCTTTAGTAAAGAAATATGAAAAGTTCTATGAAATTGGTTCTAAAATTCAGGCTTATTTCTCTCATCTTCTCATTTATATATACCTGTCTAAAATTCAGGCTTATTTCTCTCATCTTCTCATTTATATATACCTGTGTTTCAGCTATCTTATCTAAGCAACACACACCTTTTCTTTTCAATCAGAACCTGGCAAAAAAGTGGTGAACACTTTCTGGAAAAACCTGTGCTGTCTCTTTGTTAACAATGTTTATAAGTGCATTTTGGTTTTCAATACCCATTTCCTGCAAATGACACAACGCCACAAGGGACTTGCAAATAGACTCATTAAACATGTAGTGGGAAGCTCTCAATTATTATACAAAATTTTCTCTTCCCTCATTCTCCATTTCCTTTATATTATTCGAACTGTTTTTTATTATGTCTTTTCAGCATGCAAACTCTGGCTCTTTTCAAAATTACATACGAAATAGTTACCTGCAAAAGTTGAAATCCAGTGATCAATCCACGCGCATCAATGTTCTTATATGAAATTTGCTGCAGATCAAGGATGGCAATCAACTTCTCATTTCCTATTTCTTTTCCTTTGAATGAACTGAAACAAGATCAGAAAATGTGTTAAGGAAATGATTTCTTGACTCTATGCATTAATATCTCACCATAGATAGAGTAAACAGAGCATGCTACATGAAGATATGGCATACATAAAAATTTTGGAAAAGAGGTTGTTATATAGCAGAAGTACATTAAATAGACTTGATGTGAAGAATTATGTTTCACAGGTACCCAGATCAAAGATGCAAATATTTCCAGCAGAAATGAAGATTCATGCAAAACACTAGACAGCTAATTTCAATCTACCTATTTAGTTTCCTAAAATAACATGAAAATGCTGGATTCTATGTTTTTAGGTTTGGCTTGTAGCACTTCTCATGTTGATGCATTTACATTTTAGAATTTTCAGACTCTAAAATTAGCAAATTCCTCCTCAGCTCACTTTTTTCCTTCAGTTATATCTGATGCCTGTATTTATAATTCTGTTAAGATATTTTACCTGATCATCTAGAAATATCACGAACTTCATCTGAATGGACATACTCCTAACACATGGACTAGGCACTGCTTCAGCAAGTCAATACTGAAAGTGTTTACTAAGAAACCACCACTTGAGCAGAAAACTAAGTTGTAAATCTAATTTTTCAAAGTTCAATAGAAAAGAAGACTTTTCGTGTCGTTTCAGGTCAACCCCTTCCATTCTAGCATCCAAAAGAATAACCCTCTCACCCTACACTCACTTCCATCATTCAGCAGGTATTTGATACATAAGCAACTTGTCACAACTACCTTTGCTTGTACATGCCACTTAGATGACAAAATTCTACTGCCAGTGGTTTTAAGAACACTAGTCACAAGCAATGATAGTTGTGATTTCATTATCAATGTTTCCAGTACCATTTTCATTCTATCAGAATATAACGCAATGACCAAATAGCATAAAGTCATGACAGTAAGCAATCATAATCTTTCTCAATATATATAAATCACCAAGTACCAAACCATGATCCAAATAGGCACCTAGTTTAAGAATATGCTTCTTTTGTAGATTAGTGGACCATAAAATGAGAAAAAAGAGAGACTTGCAATCCTTTTGTCCATAAAATAAATAACACGAGGTAACCCCTTAACAATCACTCTCCTGCATTGTTAAACCATGCCTGTAAATGACTCCATACTGGAACATCTATTCATAAATCTCTTACCACATTCATTATTTAAAGTAAATGGTACCTTGCAATAGTCTTGTCTAGCAGATGAACAACGAACTCTGCACCAAGAGGCAAAACAAAAATGAGTCAAAAGTTCACTTGCCAGTTTATCGAGATAATGAAAGGCAGAAGTTGAACTCATTCCAATCATTGTTTCCTTTAAAAGTAAGCCTAGGCTTAGTATGAAAATACAGTGAACAGCATGCTGAAGCTGCTCTTTGAAAAGATAATAAGGCTGCATTTCAATTCACCTGTCCTGTTATTGTTAATATAGTACATTATACATCATTGTTTTGAAAAAAAAAAAAAGCACCTCTGACTACCCATTTGTACATGCTGCGTGTGTTCACTGAGAGAGGAAAAAGTTAAAAGCACAGGTGCCTTCGTGATACACATATATAGGGGAGTGGGGTGGGGAATTTGTTTATACATTTATCTGTTTATTTGGATGGAAGGGAGGTCATTCCTGTGAGAACGTTCTAGGAAGCAGCTTCAGAGCAGCCTCCAATGAAAAGACAGAAGTCCTCTGTTTACTTTGGATAAGCAAAATAATAGCTGTGGATAGAGAATCGATTGCTGTGAGAATCGAAGAAACATTATCAGGTCAAACTGCGAGTGCATGAAAACATGAGTATGAAGGTTTTCTACTGAAGGAGATTTGCAGATCAGAATAAACTCTTGAAGAGGTGACTAATGGAAAGCCTGCAGGGACAAAGAAACTTAAAAGAAACATGTTTGAGAAACAGCACTTCTCACCCATGGAACCAAGTAATGAAGCTGCCTGCTCCCACATACTATAAAAACAAAATTCTAACAAGTCAACTGATTCATAGAGTTTAACTTGCACACTGCTATCGTTTAAAAAATAAACAAGAAAGTTCCTTCTTGAAAATAAATGTTAAAAAATAAGCATTGCCTTATTGGGCAACCAGAATACAATCAGGTCCACCATACCCTTAAATAATTTGATCTTTTATACATTCCTCTATTGTGTTTTCTAGTTATCATATTGAAGCTTTTCTAGTCACCGGCCCAAGCTCCTCATTTTAATATTAGAAGGGTCCCATTTTATGCAGCATTTCAAATAATTACAACCATAATAAGAACATCATCTTTTAGAAAAAGGCGCTCTTGACTATCATATTATACAAGTATAGCTTCCTTTTGGCAGTATATAACTTCAGCATATAGCAAGTAAACTACCAGATGGAATCATCCAATATTGAAAAGAAACAAACACCAAGAAGAATGCTATTTTAAAGCCCCATGACTCTCGGACAGCAAACAAGTGATACAGTCCAAAAAGTCCTACTCATTCACCCACCTTTATGTTACAACTTTTTTTCTCATGGAACTGTTCTTGATATGTCTCATAAAAGCGATGGTCTAGATTGAAAGGTATCATGGCACCAATCAAACAGCAATTTTGATCACTGAGACTAAACCTTAATCACATGCATGTAATACTGCTACAAGGTTATCATCAATCAACTATCATGAAAACAATACAACTATACGATTCAGGTTAATTACTCTTAAATTGGAGTTGATCCTTAGAGGGAAAATGTTTGCTTGCTTTGACGAGTAATACTGGATATCCATCCTTTGACGACCCCTGCAAAAAGGCCTTTCTTGGTCCCAATTCATCTTGAACTTCAGAATCTGGGATAGACCCGTTTGGAACAAATACAGCCCTCCATTTCTGCCATTGTACAAACATCTTTGCTGCCTTTTCTGGATCCATTGATCTTGCAATCAAGAATCTCATCAGTGTTGGCTCCCCATACTTCTGCAAATGCAAACCCCAAAAATCAACAACTGTAAAGAAGTGAACTTCAACCCAAACGAAACAAATTATCTAGCTACGCGCATACAAGGACATTCCAGAACTATCTACTAAGTGTGTTAGAGTTGGTGCATTTTGTAAAAGGTATCTACCTACCTCCGTGGAAGAACCAAGCTTTTGAACTGATTTCCTTAGCTGGGTCAGTGCAATTTCTTGTTGGGTTTTGTCCATTAGGGGCAGTAAGGCTGATGATACTAGTAGAGGCCTGTCTGCTTCGGCTTCTAATTGAGATCAAGAGGGAGAGGGGTATGGAATCAGCGGGTATTTCAATATTGTGAGCGAGGGGTTAAAAGTTTAAAGCTTTAAAATTCGACACCCACTGTCCACAGAGAACAGAGGAAAGAGCATGCGAAGGGGAGAGTTTCCGTCGACGAAAGGCAACACAAACCACTGAGATGGAGAGGTTGAAATGAGAATGTAAATTGCATAGAGCTTTATTCTCACGTACAAAGTGTGAATAAAAACAATTTAAAAAAAAAACAAAATAATATATATATATATATATATATATATATATATATATATATATATATATATATATTATTTTCTTTATCAATAATTTAACACAGTGGCGGTAAAAAAAAAATTTGAAAAAAAAAACTACTATTAAAATTATTATTTCGTCACAACTTCTCGTCAATTATGATGAACCACAATAATAATAAAAAATATATATATATATATATATATATATATTACTATTATTATTTTGTTATCATTTATTTTCAATCACTATTTTTATTTTTATTATGCAATTATTATCATGATTATTGACGATGATAATAAAAAAAATTATTATTATTAATTTATCATTACTGTTTAGTCATTATTATCATTATCATTTTTATTACACCATCATCATCGTCACTTTTCATCTATCATTACCTCTTATTGTAATAATATCAATTTATTTTATTAAAATATATTATTTATATTACTATATCATCATTTTTTTCTCCTCCTCAAACTTCATAGCCACAATCATTATTATAATCATATTTATTATTTTTACCATCATCATAATTAATGAAATTTTTTTATAACATTAATATTAATTCATATTAAAAAAAAATTCATATGATTCTTCATTAATATTCAAAATAAAATATAAAAATACAAAAATAATTTTGATTTTTAATTTTTATTTCGAATTTCGAATTTCTATTTTCAAACTTTTCTTTTCATAATCGAACCGTACCTAAAATGATAAAAGAGTGAGGTATGTAAAAGCAACATTTGACTCCCATGCCACTGTCTTGGAGTTTTTCTTTAAAAGAGATTACTTCTGAATCTTATTTATAAAAATAAAATTGTTTTAATTTTATTTGTTAAAATAAGATAGTTTTTGTCATGTAGATCAAATCATTTATATATGTTATTTTTTTTATTTATAATACAACCCTTTCGCTAGTTATGATTATCATATAAAAATAAATATTAATAAATTCAATCTCATCAATTCATCAATAAGATAAAAAAACAATTACTTTAGTAAAACTAAAATAAATAAACCTTCAAAAACCAATAACTCCATTAGCGATCTCTCTTTGATCTTTCTCTCTCTCTAGTACAACATAACAAAAGAGGACTCTGTGAGAGAACATTAACAGAAAATTTTAGACTGAGAAATGTAGAGACATTACAGCTCCCAAAGCCTAGAGGATACAAAATAACATTTTACTCCGAAAGACAATTACAATAGATACTGAAAATTACTTCTTAACAACTTTTCCCACTCTAGTTTTATAGAATATTTTTCGACCATATGATTGCATAAAGCGCATAAATAAGAGAGGAAAGTCCAGAACTTAAATTCATTTATAATACATCTTTTCAATGCAAGATTTTTACTGTTCTTAATTGATGTAATTGGACTTCTGTAATTAATTATAGATTGTGATCCCTAGATTGAGTTGGAGATGGCTACTTGCATTCTCCTCTTTACCATCATTTTCTCTGCTGCTCTTTTATGCAACTGTACCAGAATCTCCAAGATATTTATGGATGAAAGGTAGAACAAATGATGCATAGAACATTCTCAAGAAGATGGCACTGGTCAACCGATCAAAACCCCCTCCCGGGAAGCTTACGGTTGAAATGGAAGAAAAATCTACCCATCAGAATATTCTCCTCTACTGTCTTCAAATAAAAAGAAAGATTTGGATTTTAGATCAGACTTCACGCCATTTGTTATGCTTTTCTCATTGAAACTTATATGAATGACAATTCTTATGTGGGAGTTATCCTTTGGAAATATGCTCTCATATTGCGATATCATATTGCTGACTTCCGAACTAAGTAGTGGGCAAAGCACATGCAGCTTAACTATCATGCAATCAATAAATCTTGAGCGCTTATATGTTTGGCCTTTGCTAGAGTAATTGTTTCTGGATAATGTTGATAAGCTTATGGGATTGAGTATACTAATATTTGATTTTATTTGATAATCATAACTAATGAAATAAGTGTATTACAAATGATATTTGTTTTTAAATTTTTATAAAATTATTAGTGAATTTAGCATAAAAAAACCGACATGTGTAAAAAGTATCTTATTTTGACAAATAAGATTAAAATAATCTTGTTTTTGCAAATAAAATTTAAAAGTATACTTTTTCGGAAAAAAAACTCCACTGTCCTGGCCTTATAAGGTCAACTCGAAACTTTGAAATTCCCTCTATTTTTGACCTCTTTTTTTAAAAAGTAGTTCTTAATAATAATAATAATAATTATTATTAATCTCTATACTTCAAAGACTAGCTTTTTCGTGGAAAGATATTAGTAAAAAAAACAAATATGCATTTTTTATCCTAATTTTTTTAATAAAAAAAATTGCCTTGGTAATTGTACCATATATAGTTAATATAGATTACAACATCAAAGAAAAATAAGAGGTGAAAAAACATGTGTTATTGTTAATTATAAAACATAAGAGGTGAAATGTAATGTGAAGTAAAAATTGCATCATAGCTGCACAGCAATTGGAAGGGTCGGTGTGATGGTTTGTCCCAACTACATATACAATTGTTTATGCCCCTCTTCCTGTCAAATATTAATCCGTTTTGTTTGCTTGAGCCTGTATGGCAATTAAGCAAAGAGATCAAAACTTTTTTCTTCTATTTAGTGTCGATCACTGTTAAATATAGAGCTTGATCAGTTGCATTGAAATCTGGCTAATAAGTAGAAGTTTTTAATAAAACTTCAACATTATTATTTTATCATGAGAATCGAACATTAGGTCCAAAACATTTTTTTCTTTTTTTATTTAGTAGGTGTCAAAACCTAAGATAACATTAATATAACATTTAAATTTACTAGCACTCGATTGGTAATTAATAGTTGCTAATTGGTTAATAAAAAGATGAAGAATCGAGTTGTTTTTCATAATCATATGTTTGCATTCATGAAAATTGTATTCTCTTAATTATATATCTTCGTGTGTGTGTGTATATATATATATATATATATGATCAATGTTATTATAAAAGAATTCTCTTCGCATCACATGTGTTGTGAAAGTTTGTGTTTAAAAATACTATTTACAATTAATTTAATTTTTAATTAAATAGTAATTTATATAATTTTGATATTAATAAACAAATTAAAAGAATAATGATTGTTACTATTCAACTACTGTTTATTAAGATTCAGTTGCATTGTGCTTGCTCTTCCTTTTTCTCGACCGTCTGTTCTTTGAGTTCCTTTGATTTGCAGTTTTTCTTTTCTCTCCTCTCAATGATGGACAGCATTTAATGTTTCTTTTGCGTTATAGACTAGAAAAAACTTACTATTATTTTAATTTTTAATCAAATATTAATTTTTATGAATTTGGTGTTATCAACAAAAAAAAAAACAAAGAGATCAAGATAAATTTAGGAGCTTATGAATCATTAAAGTGTATAAGAAAAACACTTGAAAATCAATATATACGCTGGGATCGGGTTCGTTTGGCTAATTAGCCTATAGAGGCGAGCAGTATTCGAAAAGCCCCAAATCATCCAAAAAATTCAGATAACAAAATTTTGAAAATTAAAGCGAACGGAATTCGAATAAGACAAAAAATAGTACAGGTTACTCGAATCACCCAAATTATATATTTCATTATTTTTTTTTAATAAATTTTAAAAACTATTGGGCTTGTAATTTTTCTTCAACGTAATTTTTGCTAGGTAGTTGTATTTTTTTTAGTATTTAGAGTTTTTTTTTCATTTTTATTTTTTTCATACGGAATAATAGTTGAAGTTAAATGGTCGAACAATCAAAAGCTCTCAAGGTGATGAAAGAATAAAGCTAAGCAGTTGATTTAATGGTTAAAAAAGTTAGATCTTTTTGAGTTTAAGTTTTGAGATAAACTGTCAAAATAGACGCGAGGGATATGTCTTTAAAATCGTATATGAGAAAACATTAATGCCCATGAAGGTACAGGCTTCTTTGTCATGGGGAGGAAAAAGAAAAAGCAATGGAGGACACGTGTACCGAAATTTATGGCTCACATAAATGCCCGGTCAATTAGTTAGTTAAGCTGCCCAATTAATTCAATCATTTTGGTTCACGTATTGAGCTTTAATTGGCTGCAATAATTTATTACAAGTAATTAAGGGGGAAAAAATCAACTACTATCATTTATAAACGACAAGATAGTTATTGATCACGAATAGTCAATGAAATCGAAAAGAACTGTTGGAACTAGTTGTCCTTTATACATTTTGTTTTTATAATTTTCCAAGATAGAAAATATAATAAATTTATGGAATTTATATATAATCATAAAATTATTAAAAAGTAAATAAATTACTATTGACACACTAGTAGAAACAATGTTTTACTTGTTCAATTTGAGAATTGAGGAACTAAAATCCTTATCTTATATAGCAGGTTAGTCGTTAGTGTGACAAACACATCGTCTTTTTCTATTGACACACTTAATATAATAATATTCGTATATAAAAACTAATGGTGGTTCTACTCTGCCAAAGAAAGTAAATAGTATTCAGCACTCAGCAATACTACTACAACTACTACTTTTTATTATTAATGGTGAGTACTATTGTCATTTATGGCTTAAATTTGTTGCACTTTGAGCTAAAAAAACATAATCATTTAAGCAAGTAGTCTCGGATTTGAGTTTTTGTGACCTAAAAAACTCATTGGTTAGTTATGCTAGCATTGCA